CATAACTGTTTCTAAAAAATAATTCTTAAGAACTGTTTTATCTTGAGAGATAGAGTTTTCTATTTGATGTTATTTGCAAAATTCGAGGAACAAGAAGATCTAATTGCTACACATACAAAATAGGGCTTGGGGAGCATTTTAGAGACATTGCATTTTCTAATCATGCGAAACCGCGATCGAGCACGACCTCTATGATTTGTGCGATTCATAAGTGGCGCGGAAAAAACGGCTGATTGCATGTACGACGAAGACATCGTAGTATAATGGCAGCCCTACTCAAGCTGCAATGAAAGGCCCCGATATTATAAACAACGACATCCCGAACAAAAGGCACCTAACATAGTACTTTTGCGCGGACTCAAAGCCTTTTTAAATACGTCGGCCGCCGGCGGAGCCCCGGGCCCTCGAGCATGAGAGCTCTAAACTTTAGATTGCGAACACGTTGATTGCCGTTGGAATATTGCTCGATAGGTACAGCCACAGATAATATAGCTATAACATTATTATCAAATATCAAGTACTTACTTTGTTTGTGCAATTTTATTTGGTAGACTTCCTAGCTTACTTTTCTATGCTTGGAAAACTCCCTCAATCGTCTATGCATTTATATCATATAGATCGCTTAAAGCATTTAAAACTTAAAGAAAATTGTTTTATGTCCACAAATATATGAAACTTGTATGTTAGTTAATTATGAAGTGCTAAAATGGTAGAGCCTATCTAATTTATTTTTACTGCTGCAGTTTACAGTTTCCTTAGGAATCGTTTAAAATTATCAATACACTGAACTCTAGGTGTTATTTACATCTTAAGAGGAAATGCGGTCCCAATTGGTAAATAATAATTGAAAAGAAAAACATTACAGTAAGTGGTTAATTAAAAAAACTTAATTTAAATGCAGTAAAAAGCAATTCAAGTTTCACTATAACATAGGACCTTGATATATGGAGGACATCAATATAAAAGACCTCAAAAGTACGTTTATGGCACAATTTTCTCCAAAACATATCGTTTCGCTCGAAATGACAACAGAGTGATATTTGCAATAAACACTAAAAGAATTCAATCTGAAATAACTTTTAATGATGATATATTGGCAACTAAATTAAGTAAAACTTACCAGTGGTTATTAGAGTTGCAGACGGGAACAAACGCGCGGTGTTTTGTCGAAGCGACCGATGGGGACGCGACCGGCCGAGAGCGAAGGGGAGGCTATACTGAGGCTTACACCGCGCGAACTTTCCCCTCCCTCAAAGAGCTCACTCTTTACGTATTCCGGCAAACTTTCATACGAGTAAATCCATAGATTAAGATACGTTTTTGGACTAAAAGTAAATTCATGTGTTAATCTACCTCATTCGTGTAATATTATGACATTAGTTCTAGTAGAGCTAAATGCAAGAAACTTAAAATATTAACCGAGTGCTTTAGAGAGTTGTTTCCAACGTTAATGGGAGTACTCATATTTTATGACTTATAGTCAATTTATTAATTACCTAGCTCATGTATTCGTGAAATATAATGACGTTATTTTCTAATACAGACTTAAAATGAAATATTAACAAAGTTTTTCGAGAGCAATGAATTAATGTTAGCTATAAAACCACTTATGCATGTTGAAGGTAAGCCACTCGTAAGCACCTAAGTATTTATTAAAGAAACAATAATGTCTTACCCAGCCAATAACGTTTAATTACCTAGTGGTGTAATAATAATAATAAATACCTAAGATGAATCATTAATGTCGTTTATGTATGGTTGCAAAGACAAATAAATATTTCTTTCTTACTTTTTTTAATATCAGAGTTATTGATTGACAACATTTATTGTGAAAATAAATTAATCCACGCCTTATACACTTACTTCTGAGTGCCTAATGTGTGAGAGTTGTTTTAATTTACATAAAGTTAATTAATATTTACAATTCAATTTTGCTGAAACATAAAATGCTTGATTGGAGTTACTTCTGCTTTAATACTGATACATTTGCACTGTGGAAAGCTTGGGATGTTCTTTAAATTACTTTACTAATGATGTCACATCTATACTACTAGTAATATTATAAAGCTGAAGAGTTTGTTTGTTTGGTTTAACGCGCTATTCTCAGGAACTACGGGTCCGAGTTGATAAATTATTTTTGTGTTGTTACAGCCCATTTATTGAGGAAGGCTATAAGACCACCAAACAGTCAATAGGGGCTGAGCAGTAAAGAAAAATGTTGCAAAAACGGGAAATAATATTCAAACTACTTTCACGCGTACGAAAGTGTATGCTTCGCGGGCACAGCTAGTTTGTAAATGATAAATCCATATAGTTTTGATTACGAATATTAAAATTTCCACGTGGCTTGCAGCGCCTTGAACAAATATCACATATTGAACACACCCGATTGCTCATTTGGGTGACGTTCAGCGTTGACCTACTCCGCAAAATTGATATTTGGGTATAACACACTCTGTATCTCGGGGGTATTATCGCAAGTAAATATTATGTGTTTACTGAGCATGTTTCATCTTAGATCGTAGATTTACTTCAAGATTAAGGCCAGATGCAGGCTGATTGTCATGCTTAAAAATAATAATAATTATTGAAATAACCTTTTCAAAAACAAGCTTTTATCCGCTTTCGTCAACAGATCAGTACCTCTAGTAGGAAAAACTTTCGAGTTCGTTTCGTTGCGTATTCAAAGTGTCATCGAAAAATTTTGTATGAAAAATTAAACAGCGCCCCCTATATTATAGCCGCCCTAGGGGGCGCTGTTTAATTTTTCATACAAAANTATAATATAGGGGGCGCTGTTTAATTTTTCATACAAAATTTTTCGATGACACTTTGAATACGCAACGAAACGAACTCGAAAGTTTTTCCTACTAGAGGTACAGACCCTAGAATCACCTAAAGAAACGAGCCCAAACTCGATAGGATTGTATCGTGTCGTTGCAGTTCCTATTCTTTCTGGCTCCATCATCAGACCAGCTACATGACATCATTATATTGCATTGTCATCGAATTACATCGTCGCTTGCCTGTCTAACTGACGTATCTGTCATTTTTTTCGAAACTGAGTTATCTACACCATCTTAATCAATTTCGCAAGACGAATCGATCTGTCTAATCGCCTGAAAATTTTTCAAAATGTCAGTTACGTCAGTTCTAAAGGCAAGGGACGACATGTGTAATACACATGTTGCCTGAATTTTTTGTTGCCAAAATAAAGTTATTTTCTTTCTTTCTTTCTTTCTATACAAAATTTCGGCTTAATTGGTTGTAGGTCCAGTTCAGCTTTCAAAATTTGGGTATGAAGCATACATACGAGTACATATACTCGTATAAGTAGTTACTATTACAAATTAAAAAAAAGCTTGTGTAAGCTTTCTTTCTTTAAAAGGTAACAAGTCCCTACGATACGTTATTATTTTGGTGCAAGAGCCCCTCCAACAGTTTAATTTGACAAGATATTGTCAATTGTAGAGGGGTCTGAAGAAAGATCCGGAGCTGGTTTTCTCGTCCCACTGATTCAGTTTATATCTCTTTATTTTAAAAAAGCATTGTGTCTGATTGCTACAAATACTGTCGGGAACTTTTGTTGGGAGACTCACCTTGAAAGACCCAAACCGTCGACAGCTGTGGAGTGTAGAGTTCTTGAACATAAAAACAAGATTTGCAATGTGTGATGATATTAACGCCTGGCCGAGTGGATGGGAGTATCTAATACTAACCTTTTTCATTTGATAGGAGGCAATCGAGCAGATGGATCACCTGACAATTTCAATACCTATTACAATTAGGTACAATTTTACCTAGTTACAATAACGCCAGCTCCGGTTAAAGAGTCGAATCCCAAAGGGGCAAACTAGTGCACGAGTCTATGTATATTGTACCAAAGTGCCTATTGGTGTGTATATTTATTTTAATTATTTAGGATATATAGGTCCCAAAAAGTAGTGTCAAGCCGAAACCCAGAGGTAGAGCATCACTAGGGCTACCCAAATCACCGCAACTTGATAGTTTTCGAGTCATGGACCTATAAAAAAAGGCGGACGGAACTCGCGCTATAACAAAACTGTGACGCAAAATTTTGGCGTTTGTCTATTGTGTGAGTGAATTTAGGGATGCCATGTTAGCCAAAACATTTTACCCATTTATTTTAAGAAAAACATAGATCGGCAGATGTTATTTGGAAATGTAGAGAGAATTATTCCGTGCCATTTTAAAAGGATGAAAGGTGAATGCGTTGAGGTAGGCGCGAAATTTTCAATGTTCAAATTTTCTTACATTGTTTGCAAGTCAGTGTGTCAGGGTATGTACATAATGTTGATCAAAAATGATTCACGCAGTTACAAATTACGAATCTTGTGTACATTATAATCATAATCTTATGCATCATCAATATATTATTATTATCTCTGATAGATTTTTTTTAACATACAACCTGACACTGACTTGCAATCAATGTAAGAAAATTTGAATTTCGCAGTTCCACATTTTTGGGAAGGATCAAATTTGCCTATGAAAATATATCCCATTAAAACACAATTATTATGATAAATTATTTTATTTCCATAGTATGCGTAATAAATAACTAAAAAGTCCTAAAATTATTATTAATTTCCCATATTTCGGGTAATTTTCCCACGTAAATAACTGAGAACACTGGTCTTTGACGTATTATTTTTTCGAGTGAATGACGTTTGATTTCAATTAATTTCAATATTTTAATGTCGGGAAATAAGTGATTGGATTATTATTTTGCCTGTGAAATGTGATTCCTTAATTTTTGTTTGGAACGGTTTTTACACAATTTCATCACACAAGACATGTCGTATTCGTGTTGTTTTTTCGCTGCTTAAATGTGTCAACTGTGTGAAGTTTGCACTCGAAGTGGTGTATCAGGGTGTGAATGTGTGCGTGCCGGCCTGTACGTACAGGCAAGCTGGTGTATCCTAATGTCACAGTATTTTGTTGATGAGAATCCGTCCGACTTTTTTTATAGGTCCATGTTTCGAGTTATGATTTTATTTTACAACATACAGGATTATAGTTTACATTCGTATTATGGATGTAAATACTTCTGAAATTCAGAATCTGAATCAACTAGGCCTAGTATTCGTCTAATAATAATAAAAAATCAGGCATTGACTATTCGCGCCAGCACAGTGACCAAAACTGTGCCTGAGCGCAGAAATTTAAAACAATCATAATTCGGGAAATATTAAAAATCGCGGAACATACATGGGGGTGACAAGGCTCTAACCTCTGGGCTTCGGCTTGACACTACTTCTTGGGACACCCTGTATAAAAATATGTAAGCAGAAGTATGACTACATACATCATACTTCTGCTTACATGTTTTTATATTTATTTCTTTTGCAACAGACTTATTTTTCATCAATAAACTTACAATTAAACTAAACCCAATTGTAAGAACATCGCAAAAAAAATAAATCTAAAATGTTTCGAAAGACTTGTAATATTGTCTCAAAATGATTCATAATACTTTAACAAATTATGGATTCCTCATGCAAAGTTTTCCCCTTTTCAAGAGATAGGAAAAGCGAATTATTATGGTGTAGTTCTGTAATGTGTCAATTTATTTATCTTAAGAATGTTACTGAAATGTATGAAGAATTAAAATGTACTATAAAACATTAAACAACATAATTTATTATAGACGGCTTTTTACATTTTAAATACGATGGGTATCATCTAACGCCCGATTCCCATATTCAATCCTTGTCCAAATTCGGATTACAACTGTCAAATTGAATTCAGTTTTAGATTATATTTCCAAAATGTTCGATGCATTTACACTTTAATATTGTTTAAATAGTCTTATAAACAATATAAAAATGTAAAAACATCAAAAACCGCAGTTATTTTGGCCAAATACATATTAAAATTTGACAGTTGACAATCCAAATCCGTATAATTTGAATTAGGATTGAATATAGAAATCCAGCATAATTAACTTAAATTTAGAATAACACAGACTAAACAGAATGATTGGTAATTAGTCTACCTATTTGGTTCAATATTTCAGGAAAACGTTACCAGTTCCAAGAAGGATTTTTTTAGTTTAATGGCTCTACTTACAGTGAAATTTTGTACAAGTACAGTATAGTTGCAATTTTTAATAATATTGTAAATTATTGAGTGCTTGTGCGGTAAAACTTTAATAAATGATAAAATTATTATTCTATGTTTTACTGCTTGCACTTACCAAATCGAAATTTTATTTGAAAATATTTAAAAGTTTTTAGTATAATCTTGGTTATGTTTAAAAACTTGACTCTAGTGAGAAAAATGGTACACTGGTAATTTTTGGTCAAAGCCGATGCAATTTCTTCTCTCTAATTAACAATCATAATGTATTAAGTAAACACAGTGAATAACAAAAACTTAAATGACATCATTTTTGAAACTCTACAATGTTCAGTCCTTAATATTAAATAACAGTAGCCATTATCTTAAACATTTGTAAAACTAATGCGTGTAACTAGCTGTTAAATTAAAATACATAATCATTTGGCTCCTCCTTTTCTGGCAATTCTGAAACAAAAGTATACAATTACATACATATCTATTATACAGTTTCAAAAATAATCTGAAGGATTATATTTTGTATTCATAATTATGGGGTAGGAGGCCTGCCCACGCTACGTTTTCCAGCCCGTGGTCGCCACTCGAGAACTTTCCTGCCCCAACGGCCATCGTCTCTACGAGCTATGTGCCCCGCCCACTGCCACTTGATTTTAGCAATTCTGCGAGCTATGTCGGTTACTTTGGTTCTCCTACGGATCTCCTCATTTCTGATTCGATCACGCAGGGAAACTCCGAGCATAGCCCACTAGGTGGACCGACGATCTGGTAAAGGTCGCGGGAAGAGCCTGGATGCGGGCAGCGCAGGACCGTTCATTGTGGAAAACCTTGGGGGAGGCCTTTGTCCAGCAGTGGACGTCATTTGGCTGAAATGAAAATTATGGGGTGTAATAAAATGTAAACGCTGACACCTACATGTTTCCCTTTTGTAAGAAATTTATGTCGGATGGTGATACTATTTATGGGATGTCAGGAAAATAGTGTACCGAAATCCATAGCGGAGCCTAATCTACTTAAACTGATACACAAAGTTAGACTCGGGAACGGGAATGGTTAACTCTCTCGGAGTTTAGAGAAAATAATTTAATAATTTAAAAACAATAAGGTAATCGTAAGTTAATAGTTGCTGCGTATCCCTTCTGTGCTGTTTTAATTTAAGTTAGTAATTTGATTCCTTTTCCTCTTCTTCTTTAAGGCTTTCTGCTGAAAACCAGTGTCAAGACATCCTACAAGGTGTCCCAACTAAAACTGAGCGGGCGGCATATTAACATGCATTAGTTTCTTTCTTTTAAATTTAGCCATTGTATTGTATCGTTAATGTGTGTTAATAAAGTTATTTATTTATTTATAAGATTTAAAAAGAAGGAGATGTAATGTACTTACACTTCATTAATAGTAACAACACGCGAGCCCCAAATGTGCAGGGAATGCCGGACACAGGTTCCCCCGATTGAAGCCAACCACGCTCTCGCACTTGGACCGCTCCATGCAGATGCCGCCTTGCCTGACGCATGGTTCGTCGAGTGCAATCACTGAAATCAAAATAAAATAAATCAATAGTTTAAAAAACCAAAAACACGCTTTTAATTATTGCACTAAAAGGTCAAAAAGAAAAAACAAATCCAACGAACTCAATCTCGATGAGTTTCCGCCGTTTCGTTTAGAATTTCCAATGGACATGGACACCTCCCGACTTCCTCATCAGACCAGCTCGATGGTACCATAATATTGTATAGTCATTTAATCTACGTTTATAATTGCCAAGTTTCATGATGATACAAGAATTAGAAGTGCGTGTAATTCAGATTCTTAGATTCCATTACATAGTTAGTTACATGCATACACGACGACCCAATAAAAATGTGTTAATAATAAAAGTACGTTATTAAAATGTTTCAGTACAAAAATACAGTAGGTCGAAATATTCTGTCTTTCATGAAACCACATTTTTTCCAAATTAATACAAATTCATTTTCCCATACAAATTGTAACAGCCAATAGGCCAACTACATAGTAAGTATTAAGGAAGTTGATATTGTTCAGTTTTTAATATCGATCCTCCTTTTGGGTTGGACGGGTTTTTACATTCTGTATACTTATTCGACTCATATTTTTAATCGATATCTACGTAATCTTCTATCTATAAGATATTAATAAAACTGTAGAAACTGACTCTTCTGTATATGCATGTATAATCTGGCTTCTGTGTGCGGCTTTGTTCTCGTGGACTACACAATTTTGGCTGTTTCCTTTTTTCTGCCCGAAAGCTAGATCTCACAAACTTATAACACCCCATCGTTTTTTCGTCGGGGGTTTAAAATTAAATGCTCAACTTTATTATTTTATCATAAAACGCTAAATGCTTGATTTTTGTATTTATTCATATTTATTTTTAGCGCAGAATTGATAACTAAACTTAATAACTTGTGCCTAGTTACCTAGTTAACTTTTTACGCCGCTAGGTGTGAAATCTACAGACTAAAGTTACCCAAACAAGAGCAAACCTTTTCGTTAAGAATGGTAAGAGATATATTTATATACAGTGTGTCCGGGCTTGTAGTGATCAAACTTAAAGGGCGTAATCTATGGACAATTTTATCGATGAAAAGACTTCAAATTTGGGGCTTGACCCATTTCTCGCAAAATTACGAGGATTTAAGTTTTTAATTTTTAGTTTTCACCTCTTCCTTCAAAAACAAGTGAAAGCGTGGGTAGCTTAACACTAATAAGCAAAAAATTTATATCATGCGATAGCCAATAAAATTATCTATTAGCAGAAGTAAAAAACAGATACAAGTTTAATACATTTTAAGGGAGTAAGAATGGATTTAATTAGAAAAAAACATGACTTTTTTCACTTCTTTTTCAGTTATTTTCCAACACAAGAAAAACCAGGTCGTTAAGGTATGTTTTATTTGCATTGTATTATTAGTATTTGAGCTATTCTACAAAACGAATGTAAATTTATTAGTCTACGTCTATTAGTTTCGACGTAATTGTTGAACAAAGATACCCCTTCCCAGCGGTTTCCATAGTAATCGGAATAGGTTGTGTGATTCTTTCAGGCAGTGCATTTTCGCATGTCGCGTGCGCTATGGAAACCGCTGGGAAGGGGTATCTTTGTTCAACAATTACGTCGAAACTAATAGACGTAGACTAATAAATTTACATTCGTTTTGTAGAATAGCTCAAATACTAATAATAAAATGCAAATAAAACATACCTTAACGACCTGGTTTTTCTTGTGTTGGAAAATAACTGAAAAAGAAGTGAAAAAAGTCATGTTTTTTTCTAATTAAATCCATTCTTACTCCCTTAAAATGTATTAAACTTGTATCTGTTTTTTACTTCTGCTAATAGATAATTTTATTGGCTATCGCATGATATAAATTTTTTGCTTATTAGTGTTAAGCTACCCACGCTTTCACTTGTTTTTGAAGGAAGAGGTGAAAACTAAAAATTAAAAACTTAAATCCTCGTAATTTTGCGAGAAACGGGTCAAGCTCCAAATTTGAAGTCTTTTCATCGATAAAATTGTCCATAGATTACGCCTTTAAAGTTTGATCACTACAAGCCCGGACACACTGTATATTACGGCTACTTTATCTTAATTACTTTAGGAATAAAAATCGAGACAGTTATTATCATTAACCTTCTAATGACATCAATAAATTGTAGTGAGTAGATACATTGTTTGTCAACATAATTTTAATTAATCCAGGTTGTAATTGCTTATTATCTGCAGTTTTTATTATACTTATAAAATTTCCTCTGATTTGTAGGTAGGTACTTTCTAGTTTTACTTATTATCTGTTATTTTTGTTAGATTGACTTGAACTTTAATCAATATCAAGGTGGGTAAAGTAGGTTTACTATTTTACAATTCGGTTTTTGGATCAGATTTTTTTTATAATTAATAAAATATAATTACTATAGGTAAATTAAATTAATATACATGTGGTATTGGGGTCATACCACACCTAGAAGTGAAACATTTTTTCACGCATTCGCCTTATTTTTTCACCAATAAAATAATAGATAACACTTTCTCATTTATATACAGTAAACATTATTATTAAGTTTTACTAAGTAATAATCTGAATAAGAACTAAAGCATAACTGATAACATTCTACGCGATAGCACGCCATGACGGCAGTCATTATGCCCACGTGATACTCACTAGTAATCAGATATGTTTTATGTATTTCAATATTTTATTTATAGTCATATACGCGCGCGTATTTGTAAGGGTCTGTGCAAACGAAGACACCTTTTGCACGGTGGAAGCAACTGGACATACAAAGTGTTAGGTATGTCTGCACAGGATGTAATGTGGTTATTTTCTTTCTCGGTAGAAAAGCATTTCTATTTTATGTTACACGAATAATCCGCTAGACATTCCTAGTTCATTCCTCTTTGGTGAAGGAAAAAGCATTTCTAATCGATTCTGCTACGATACCATTTGTTTTTGGAAATCATTCGTTTTAATTAGTACGAGAACCTGATCATAAAAAAAATCTTAAAAGTCAATTACATATCCAACTGCTTGTTTGTATAATGTGTCGCTGGGAATTGTCATGCGAGTTCTCTAACGCCCTATGTCCACGACCCATGTGTAGACCAGTGTACCTACCATGAGTTTACGTTAGGTGTGCTCGCTAGCGAGTACGTCAAAAATCTCTATGAAGATTTTGTTTCTTGAAAGTAGCCGCTAGGGGCGCTGCACATTATGTCATACAATTAATGTCATTTTTTTAACGTAGTCGCTAGCGAGCACACCTAACGTAAACTCATAGTAAGCACACAGGTACCAAAGTCTTTCGCGCGCACCCGGGACAGCGCTAAATGCCTATTTTTTCAGGAATACCTGGACTTAAATCTAATATTCCTGCTACCTTTTTTAACTAAGATACGAATATGTTTATAGTCAAACATCGAATTTAACACCTTTCCTAATTTTTATATTACTTACCTACTTCTAATTTTCACATGACATTTTATTACGAGTACTTCGGTATAAGAAGAATTATCTTTTTAGGACAGATTTTTCAATCGTCGGATAACTTTTCTTGTGAAGATCGATAGCTTTGACAGCTTCAGTACATAGGAAATATGTCTAAATGATAATGTTATTCTTCAATTAAAAGATATCTGGCGATTGAAAAATCAGCCCTTAGACAAGGACAAATAACCACATTCACATCAGTTTCCATCCCCATAGAACTTTACAACAACGGGCAGCTCTAGGTCATTTGCGTAATTGGGTCACTGTCACAATCACAAGAAGCACACGATATGTCGGCCAAAATAAGGCAGTCTTATCGCTAAAAATATTTTCTCCAGACTATTCGCGGATAAAACGGGTGTAGTTGTGACAAAAAAGTGAAATTACTTCACAAAAAAAAAATCAAGAAAACAAATTTTACCTTAATTGTTTACCATTTTACTTGTAACGATGGAAATTCATCCACTTTGATTTTTTTTTGTAACCATACATCTAGTGAAAATATTTAATATAATTTATAATAAAATTTTAAATTACATTATGTAATACTTTAATTTGACATTAAAAATTCGTCTACACACAGCTCCTGTCGTCCTAAACGTACGAGAAAAGTAGATTTTCTTTGAATAATTTTGAAGAAGCGGGCCAAAGTATTATTTGTGCGGAAATAAGAATATTCGCTTGGTCAATATAAACTTAAAATATTTACCTAAACAAGTAGGTAAGTATTTATGATTTTGAAAAAGAAAAACATTAAAAGCACACTTACATTTATAATCTTCCGCCACTCTAGCCTGTGCCGGAACGAAATCTAATAACACAATTAAGAAAGCTAATGTTAGCACACACTTGCAAAGCATTTTTTATATTTTTGTCTAATCGACTTGTTTTTACTTTTGTAGCTCTAGAGCATGTGACCACGCGGACCAATTGGCGCGCTTTTATATACACGCAACGATAAACATGAGCTTTGCAATTACTTCATATACTCGTAAAATGATTCTACTCGTATGCCCCTAGTGGTCATATGACCGTAAAGATAAGGATTATTTTTCAGTAAATCACAAAATATTCATCAATATTGGAACGTTACACAAACATAGAACATAAAATCGACAATTCATGAAGCGTCGAGATGTCACGTGAAGGGGAGTGAGTCAGGCGCAAAACCGGGATAAAACTCATGTGACAATGATAACACATATACCTACCTGTTTACCTGTGTGATAAAGGAAACAGGATTGGCCAGTGGTGGCCTAGTAAACTGCAAAATATCGTCAAATTAGGTAGGTAGATTCAAAAAAATCCATGTTACTCCAATCCAATACACCAAACGGCCGAAGTCATTTCCGCATTTTTTTACTTTTTTACCCACAACTGAAAGCTCTTGGCCTGCATCTTATCTGTTGGAATGTGATGATCAGATCGAAAGTGGAAGCACGGCACTTATTACTTATATGTATACCTACTTATCATCATCACTACAACCTATTAAAACAAAGTCGCTTTCCTGTCTGTCAGTCCCT